CTACATGAGGACCAGTCCTCGTTGTTTATTACATTGTTAAGAAGTCTTTCAAAATCAAGTCCAGTGCCTGCTCCATTTCACTGCCTCCCAGTTCAGCAAAAGCTCCTTAGGCTTTCCTGAAGGCTTTGTGCGGGCGAGCCAAAGTCAGCTCCAGCAGATGCCAAGTGCTCTTGTCATTATTAGCCAAACCCTGTTATGTTCCAGACTGTCCCAAATGCTCTGTATTTCTAGAAATCACTGTCTTGACCTCTCAGCATTGACAATTTGATCAGAAAACCCTGCAGAAAATCTTTAAGCCGTCTTGACAAACTGTGGACGTGTCTCTGAGCAATCACATTTCTGTCCCAGAGGTCTGGGGCTCCGTGTAAAATTACCCCTTAACTGTGGAGGCCCGTTCATCTGACACAGCGACACTGTGTGAAAAGCCGTCTGGTGGCACATCATCCTTGTGACCCAGAAAGTGTTTGTGACCTTCCTGCCCATGGTTGGATAGTGTGCGCTAGAAAAAAGAAGATGTGAGGGGGGCTGGGCCCGCAAGAGGGCGATGAAGCAGAGAACCTCCGACGGGCCGGTAGCTCATGAATCCGGCGTCCTTCTCACTGGGCAAAACCACAAAAGAAGTGCCGGCGCCTGGTCCGCCGTGATTGCACCCCGGGAAAGCCACGTTCTGGAACCTGCCGGCCTTTTCCCACAGATGGTGTGATCTGGGGATTACCGTCTCTGCAAGCACATTAAGCCTGGGTCCCAGGAAAGTATCAGAATTCAAGACGGTTCAGATAGCTCCCCCTCAGGATTCACCTAAAATCAGCTTGAGTCAAATCCCCTGAGAGAGTTCAAGAATATCGACATGCAATGCCAGGTTCTTCCGGCCAAGAACCCTTCAGAACCTCTCCCTCCGTCACCCACAGATGCCAAGGGTGCAGTGAGCAGCTCTGAGAGATCAAAGACATGCTTCCGAACATTCCTTAGGAACCAGCCGTAGCCATCAGCATCAGTTTATCTAAGCTCTTCAGAATGAATCATCTAACACTGAGCACTGACTCTACACAGTGCCCGTCACAGGGGATCCCACCTGCATGTGTTGGGCTCCCTTCTAGTACTACTAACGAGTATTACTAACTAGTACTATTAACCACTACTCTGTGTGTCCCAGGGCTGCTTTCTCAAAGCTTCGATTCGGAGGTGCTCACAAGAGCCCGGAACAGGGCTGTGTAAAGTGATGTGTGTGAGACGGGTCCCTAACTGGCAGCTGCTCACAGCTCCTGGGACGGCAGGTTCTAGAAACACCCCGGTCACACCAGTGACGGCTCGTATCGCGTCCCGAGCACGGGAGTTCTCACACAGTGACAAAGAAGGACTCAAGGAGATGGCACAGGGTCTGGACTCAGAAGGAAGAGGAGGAGGTCAGGGAGAAGAGCTTTCTGAACCGTTGCTGTGCCCCCAGGCTCCTAAGGCCGCCATCCCGTCGCAATGGCTGCAGCACTTACCGGGCATGGATTGTAGACATGCTGGAAGGGTAACCCGGAAAGAAAGAAGGTGGTGAGGAAACATGTAACGAACCGTTCTAGAGTCCTTATGTTACCTTTCAGAGCAATTCTCCCAACTTCCAGAAGACTCAAACACGTTTTTGGGAGAGATGCTGTCATTGATGTAAAATGTTTATCTGTAACACAAATTACTTCTAGAAATTTCCAGGTTATGAGCAATCATCCAGCAAATATAGACTATGCTCTCAGAGCACATGCCGAGTGAATGAGACATGGCCCCGCATTTTCAAAAATATTGACTTCATGAGAGGAAGAAGATCCTGACCACCCCCTCCCCCCCACCAAGCTGTATCACAAAGCAGAAGGTGCTTAATGTCATGGGGCATGGTTTTTAAAATAGTGTTTGATGAGGAGGGTGGAGTTGTTGCAAAGGAGGATCAGAGAGGCTGGCAGTAGGCACATCCCAGACTCACAAAGGAGACAGTAGCATTTGCACTGACCTTAAAGTCTAGATAGATTCATTGCAGAAGATTCAGCGTGAACAAAGCATAGAGAGTGATGGCGATATGGGGTGGGGCATCAAACACTGGGAAATAGTCTTATTGAGATAGAAAGGAACAGGGTAGTAAATTGAAGTTTAGACAAAGGACAGTGCTAGTCTAGGCTCCTTTGGTGATTTTTGAAATGGATGGTATTTGGGACCAGAAGTGCTAATCCAGTTATTCTGTGGATGTGAAGGTCAGGGTGTGGGGAGAAGGCTGCAGCAGTGAGCCGAGACAAAACAGCAGTGCCCCAGAGGGCAGACCCAAGCTTGGGTGCTGCCCCTAACTGCTGGGGGCTTTGGGCTTCAGACTAATGGTTTCACGAATCTAGACCTTGGCTTCCTCAAATATAAGATGAAAGTCTCATCTCCACTTTTCAATTCAGGTAAGTCCTGTAATAAGAATGCTGTCCAAAGCTGAGCTATGGTGAACAGCAAGGGAAAAAAAAAAAAAAAAAGCAGCCAATGTACATACCAAGTAGGGTAGGACTTATAGAAGCCTTATGGTTAGCTCTGAGTGGTGGAGTTATTAGTGGCTTTTGTTTTCATTCTGCTGACCTTCATTATCTTTCTTTTCTATGAATGCTACATGTGTAATAAAAATGTACAGTCACACACACACAGATAAAACAAAAGCCTTAGAATGTCAGTTTTTAAAACAGCTCCAGCTACACATTCACTCTGGAGGAAAGAACATGAGTAGTGTTTCAATTACATGTTAATTTACCCAGTTATTCCCAAAGGCAACTGTGTCTGAGGAGGGTTACTGTACTTGTCCTAGTTCACCCGTCCCACACCCTTGAGAGACAGGACCTCATAGGCAGTTTGCTTTTGCTGTTGTTTAAAACACATTATTTTACAGACAACACGAAAATATCCTTTCCTGTCACAGGTAAATAGTACTTGTCCCCAGACATGAAAGAGGACAGTCTCCCAAACCGTGCAAGGAGAAATTATATCCGTTTAATATCATAAATGATGTTGCATAAAAATATTAACAACAGATCCACTGGAGATGACCCAAGCCGGGCAGACGCAGGAATGTCTACAGAAGCAACAAAGGCCAAGTGTCACTTTAGAGGACTTTGTTCTCAGTGAAAAAACTCCATCTCTCTCCCTCCTCCCTCCTCCCAGCCAGGCTCGCCTCCTGGAGTCCTAGTGTGTGCTTCTCACCCTAAGTTTAGAAATTCAAGTGACCTTGCAGCCTTGGCGCCCCAGAGTTGAGGTGAACGAGAGCACGTAAACGGCTGCCGGGGGCAGGGTCTGGGGTAACATCCCCCACCTGTTGCGCGGACAATATCTGATCTAGAGGAAAGTTCGGAAATACTGAAACCATGCGCTTGAGCCAGAACTACCCCTCCTCCTCCCACCCCTCACACACCATATTTTAGCTAGATAAGTATTTCACAAACGTAAATTTTATATCATGCTGAAATGTCCATATTAGGATAACTTTAGCACAAAAATATGCATTCAGTATTCCATGATTGTCTCCAAATAAAAGCAGTTTGCAATTGACGTTTTCTGGATTGGGCCACTTAAATTCACTTCTTTCCTGTGCAAGGAAACTGGAGGAACTGGGTGGGGGCCCCAGCGTCAGGCACTGGTGAGGAGGGCCTGCCTTGGAGGGTCAAGGGTGTGTCACGCAAACAGCATCCTCCACTGCCCGGCTTGCGTGGTTCTCAGTCATCTGCACAGAAGGCCGTCGGCTGGTTCCCTCAGGGGCTCCTGCAGGGGCCACAGAAGATATGTGACAGTAATAACCCAGGTCCCCGCTTCTGGTCACAGCCCATCGCTGGCCCTCCTGGGCCAGGCAGACCCTGAGGGTGATCCCTCCCTTCCCACAGCGCCCACCCAGGCACCGGCTTTCCGTGGTTTGAGGACCGACACGGACATAGTAGGTGCTTGTTGAGTGAACAGAACGATTCAAGTCAGTGCTGGTCCAGACTGTGATGAAAGGCGTGAGGAGCCGACAGGACCGATGTGAGCTCCCTTCCTTCTCCCGGGAGCCCTTAAGCCCGGAGCAGCTGCCGGGGGGGGAGGCGCGGGCAGGCCTGTCCTGGCCCTCGTGGGGCCTGAGCTGGTGCTCACTTGGGATGGCAGGGGCCGCGTGCCGATCCTGGGCGACGTCGGGGTGCCTGACCACTGGGGACCTGGACCTGCGTGCGTGTGTTTTGTTTGTGGGACCAACCTGTGTCCACACACAACACACTGAAGGGCCACACACGAGATGTTCCAGGTGCGACTCTTCCCTTCGGGCACAGCAAAGCAGCTGGGGTCGGTCACTGGAAACGTTTTTCCTCAAAATCACGGTCATTTTGCCACAACATAGATCGGTGAGATGCTGGCCCACGTGGTTGTCTTTGTGGGAGGGAACGTCCCGGAGGCATTTCCTCGTCCACATCTAGCGACTGCTGCCGACGGACAGGTGCCCAGAGAAATTAAGAGCCACGCAGCTGAGGGTCAGGACATCTGGTCCCATCGCGTTCGGGTCTGTGTTTTTACAGCTACAAGCTCTGCAACACTTGGCGCCCTGAGCAGCCATATCTTCTGCATCACGCCCCCTGGATCCAGAAAAGTAGGCCAGTTCCAAGGAAACTGGCTTCTGCCTGGACACACTGTCTACACCAGCTTTCGGTCAGTTGACCAGGTCTGGTCTCCGCGTGCACTTCTTTTTCCCCCATTAGTTCATAGTAGCGGACAGGGCCCACGTCCTGATCCGAGTGTCCTTGATGCCCAGGCTCCGAACCCAGAGCGAACACATCGTGAGCACCTGGGAACCGACCAGAAAAACGCGTCAAGAGCCGTGGCCGCGCTGTGTGCGCCGGGCGGGGGCGTGTCCTTCCTGGATCCGCTAGGAGCCAGCTTCGTGGCTCGCGCCCGCAGGGCAAGCCTGGGCCGCACCACGTGTGGCCCCTTGAGCGTCGTGATGCTTCCGCGGGCTGCGGCCCTGACTCTGTTTCCCGTTTCAGGCCTACATGGAAGACCACCTGAAGAACAAGAACCGGCTGGACAGGGAGTGGGAAGCGCTGTGCGCCTACCAGGCGGAGCCCAACAGCTCGCTCGTGGCCCAGAGGGAGGAGAACCTGCCGAAGAACCGCTCCCCGGCAGTGCTGACCTGTACGTAGCCCCCGGGCCCCGGGCCAGGGGAGGGCGGCCCTCAGAGCCGGGTGGGCCGGGCTGCCCCCGCTTGCTCTCTCCTCATTTTCCTGGGGTCCCCGCCCCCCGTGCTCTGCAGCGAATGCACCACCCCGGGGAAGCCATCCCCAGCCTGAGAATGGAGTCGGCTCCTTCCTCTGGGGGCCAGGGGCACAGTCCCGGGTCGGGGAACGGCTGCACCCCTGGTACTCGCTCTCTGTCGTTACTGTGCAACTTGAGACCCGTTTCTTAGCCGCTGTGAACCTCTTCCTCGTCTATAATCGGGGTCCAACTATCTTCCTTGAAATCACCAAGCCCTGAGGACAGTTAGCGTAGCGCCTGCCACGTCGCACGCACACAGCCATCTGACCTTACACTCAGGTCCACAAGCGCTGCTGAGGGCCGCCTCTGGCCGGGACGCACCACCAGGAGGCAGCCACACAAAAGACACCAGTTCTGTAAAGCAGCTCGCGCCTCGTAGGGGTTAGGGGTTGGATGTGATGCCGGGACCCGCAGACGAAAGACCCGCCTGGTGTGCCCCTTCCTGGCCCTGGGCTCCCTTCCTTGGGTCACTTATCAGGCACCCCAGCCACCCGTGTTCTAGCACGTTCCACGCCAGGTTTGCACTCTGGGTAATGTATGAACCCACTCCGCGGAGAGGAAAGAGGAGAGGGATCGGAAGTGAGTTTGTGACCAGAGTGCCCGACACACAGACGCTCGCTGAATGCTGACGCGTGCGCAGCAGTCGTGTGCACAGAATGTTACTGCCTTCGTCTCCGCAGACGAGGGGTGCTCGCGCGTGCCTCAAACAGGATAAAACATTGTCGGCTGGCGTTTTTGAGGGCACGGCAAAGCCGCACTCTCAGCAAATTCAGTGTCCGCGGTGGGGACAGTCCCCCCATGTCCCGGATCCCGGGCCCCAGCCCTTTGGAGCCAGCGATGGGGCCTGGTGCGTTGGCCAAGGGCCGTGTCCCGCCAGTCCCCCCCGCCTGGCCCACCAGACGCCACAGGACAGGCTCCGATGTAAGTGGCAGTGGTCTGACCCCAGCTTACGGGCCAAAAAATCAAAAGCTGGCGTCTTGTGTTGCCTTAGACACTGACGGGCATTACAGACCCTTGAAATCCGAACACGCCTGTGGGCGTGATGTTTTGTAACAGGTCAGTGCGGGCTCAGGCTAGGCCCTCTGTCTCCATGCGGTCTGAGGAGTGTTTCCCTGAAGGGCTTTAAAAATAGGAGCTGTCTTCATTTATGCATTTTACATTTAGAAGAAAAGCAAAAAAAAAAAAAAAAAAAGAAAAAGAAAAGAACAAAGAAAACAGCAATTGACTGACATACTTATTAAGTACCTACTGTGTGCTGGGCTGCGGACAGATACCGAGTGTGCAGAGATCTAACCTGGCCGCTGTGCTCAGGGCCCAGACGGGAAGGCCAGGAGGCTTCCACCTGCACCCGGAACACTTAGCTGTCTGGGGCGAACAGACACTCAGCAAGCTTAGACAGAATGTGTCCACGGGTCTGGTCACTTACGTGGACTATCGGGTCCCTTATGGCAAATATTAAATCCGAGCGTCTTCCTCCAGCACCCCTCCCACAGAGAAAGCCAGACCGCAGGTGCCCCCCGCAGCCCCGTGCCAGGACCTCAGCGACGGTGGCGTCTCCCGTCCCAAGGCCCTGCTTGCCCTGACGTCCGCCCTCTTGGGTCGGGGCGCCAGGGGGTAGGTGGCCGGCGCCCTGGCCCAGCAGCCTAGCCCAGCGCTCCAGGCTGCCTGGGGCGTGAGGGGACAGCTGTGCGGGGCAGGGACAGCAGGGCAAGCACACAGACACGGGAGCGTTTCCGTGGAGGAGCCCAGGGACCCCGCTGCCCCCCACTTGCGGCCTCCTTCACGTAGATGGAACCCTTAGCAGCAGATTTCAGCCTCTGTCCCTCCCTGAGCAGGACGCGGACGCCTGGGCTTAAACTCTCCTCGGCTCTGCCAGGTTCCACCAGGGACACTCACCCCACCTGCCGCCATCGGGCGCGCACAGCCTGCGTGGCAGAGACTCGGCCCCGTGGTGGGACCGCCAGGTGTCGAGGAGGGTGGCCAGTGCTGTCGTCCATGCGCACAGAACGCACTCTCCCCGGCGCACCCGAGGCTCCGGGCGTGCGTCGGCGGGTGGGGGCCTGAGCCAGCGTCCCGCGTCGTCCACCGGGCTCTGTGTTGCCTGGTTCGACGGGTCCCTGGGTGCCCGGGGGACTCCGTGCCAGGGGCCTCCCGTCCTCACGCCTCCGGCGCCCGACCTCTCAGACTCTCCTCCACCCAGGGACGGGACCCCCAACGTCCGTGATGTGCACCAGCCCACATCCGTGGGGTTTACCAGCTGGACACCCGTGGCTTCCCAGCTGTCATCTCCCACCCGGGGCCCAGCCCGCCCACTACCTGCACCCTCCGCCCTCCTGTGAGCTCCTTCTCGTCTGGGGCCCCCAGGGGCCTCCGCTGCTCCCGCACTGAGGCTTCCCCCTGAGCCTGACAGGCACTGTGGGAAAGTGGCTGCGGTGTCCACCTTTCTGTCCCTGCCAGGAGCTTCTGGCGACTTCCATATCATCTTCCAGAGGACAGTGTAGGACCAGGTGAACCGGCTCAGTCTGTGCTTTGGGCATCGTACAAGGTTAGAGAATTTAATACACTTCCTAAATTTATTTGTATTTGTAAGGGGAATTATGCAATATTCTGCTCATTTGCTTTTTAAATGAAAGACAGGATGATAACGCTGTTTTGGCGTACCGTCTTAAACAAGATATATTTTTGATTCTGTGTCACAAAAGCACAGGAGAGATTAGATGGAGACAAAGAACAGTTAGAGGTGAAACCAGAGAGAAGTGTCCAGGACCTGGATACGCAGACGGAGAGAAAGGCACTTGATGGAACATTCTCACAGTCCAGCTGCTCAGGGCTTTGCTGTGAAAGAGACCACGCAGGGGGCAGCTGTGGGCGCGCCTGCCTGCCTCGCAGACCTGGCCAGGTGGGATGACGGCGGGCCTTGTCAGGGCACCCGGTGGCACCAGGCCCAGCCGCGTGTGGACACCGGCTACTGCCGAGCACAGGAAGCCTCCCCCCCGCCACGGAATCACCCCTGCACCTTCCAGATGAGGGCACTGGGGCTCAAACCCTATGCTGGCGGGACTCTGCCCACACACGCTTGTGCGCCAGCCTGACCTTCTCTGTGTCGGAAAAATGCACACAAATTTCAAGCGTCTGCGGAAAAGAATATTTGAAATATATACATGACTGCGGTATTTCAGCGAGGCATCACTATCCCTAAAACACAGAGAATATAATTTTTTCCAAACAAATCTTTAGCTTAAATTTGTTTTTCTGAACCCTAAGCAGACTCCACATATAGGAATATTCTGGGCTGGGCACTTCTGAGCGACCCAGACCTGCCCCCACCTGCCCGGAAGCACCTGTGAGCCTCCTAAGTCTGGTAAGCAAGCTCGATGTCTCCTCTTGTGTGAGGAGGCTCCGCACACACCTTCACCGCCACCGGGCAGGGACCGTCCGCATAAGGAGCCGGCCGAGTGTCTGCCTCCGGGTTCCAGGAGGCCGTGGGCTTGTTGGTGTCCACAATCTGCACGCCAGCGGGTTCTGTGGGCTTTGTCGTGGCTGCACCACGCAGGAGATGTCCCAGCCCCGCGCCTGAGACTGACGGGGGTCTTGTGTCTCGGGGAAGCCGGGAGGGGGCACACCGTGTTTCAGGAGCAGGAGTCCACCGGCCACGCCCTCAGGGCACCTAGAAGAGGCACCCTCACGGGGTCACGACGCAGGCCCCGCCACCAGCTTGCCGGGGCTCCGAGTGCATGGACCGTCGGCACAGTTGAACCACTCAAAGCTCAGATTTTCTCTTTACCCCTTTCGGTGAAGCTGGGCCAGACTCGGGACACCTCCTAGAGCGTGGCTGTGCCCGGCCCTCAGCATTCCCTTCCCGGGGCAGCTCACAGACCCCTGACTCCGTGGGGGCCCTGAGGCCGCTGGCCGCCCCTCGGGACCAGCTCTAGTCTCCTTGCCCAGAGCGATCAGTCGCAGCCCTCCCCGCCCCGGGCACGCCCCGCCCCCACCCTGGGCACGCCCCCCCCCGTCACCCCGGGCACGCCCCGCCCCGGGCACCCCCCCCCCGCCCCGGGCACGCCCCGCCCCGGGCACCCCACCACCCTGGGCACGCCGCTCTGCTGCAATTTCACATTCCCTGTGCCGCAGGCACGCCACAAGCCACAGAGTTTGCTGGTCGAGGTCGCCATCCACTGTGGTCGGGGGCCTCTTCTTTCCCCCGGGACCCCAGTCCCCGCACCCTCGCAGAGGTGCCTGAGAGGCGCTTTGCATCCGTCCTCGTTCGCAGTCGAGAAGATTTTGATTCCTGGTTCAACACAGTACCTCCGTCTGTCGGCTTCCCGCCACCTGTACTTTTTATAAACATGACTTCCGTGTCCTCGAGTCTCCCACAGAAACACGCTGGACAGGGTCGGTACGGGCCCTGCCCTCCCAAGGCCTCCCGCACGCTGGCCCGGGTCTGTGAGGGGACTCGAGCGCCCGCTCGGCGGCTAAGGCTTCGCCCCCAGCCCTGCTGCAGAGCCCGGTCGGGAGGGCGCCCCGCTCACGTCCAGATGCTCGTCGAGCGCTTGCGCGACAGACCCGGGGGCAGATGCCGCACAGCCGCGCGTCTCGTCCCCCTGGGCTCCCGTGGGGCCGGCCCAGGGGCGCTCCGCGAGAAGGCACGAAGATGCCCCTGCACACGTTTTACTGCAGGAGTGTAAACGCGCAGGCGGAAGCGCTAGCCTGACGGTGGCCTCCATCCCCCCACCCACGCTCAGCACGTGCAGGTCAGCCCTCGCGGACGTGCCCGATGTGTGTGCGCTTTGCTGATTTGGGGGCTGAGCTGTTTCAGAGTGAGTTTCCGGCATCGTGACACGTCCGTGACTGCTTCAGCCGGTGCCTCCTGAGACGACGTC